ACATATTCATTCAGTTGACAAAAGGCAGGTTTACGAAGTATAAAACACAAACAGCACAACAAACTATACTGGTTGGTGAAATATAAAATGCACAAAATACAAAACATCAAATAATAAGAGATATAAGGCATAGGTACCTGGAGAGGGGAAAAACAAAATGACCCCCTTCCAGTGTAACAACAGCTTTTTTCTGTTACTTCATGCAACCCTACTTGACCTAGCTAGGACTTGAACTCAGACTTATCAAATGGTGAGCAGAAACTCTACCACATAGCCACTAGCACTAGGACTGCTCCAAGGTGCTAGGGGTTTTGACCTTTCAGGAACCCCTGACTCACATTGAGCTGCCCTGTCTCTCACTGGAAGCAGAGCTGGGAACCTCTTGGGTCACTACTCAGCTTCTTGCTGGAGCTGGGGAGTCTCTCCTGCTGGCTGCAGCCTCTCATAGGGGATCCTGGAGCCCAACAGGGAGACTCTTCTGCCGGCCACATGTCGTGCTGCTGAGGGTCCAACTGCTGCCTGCAGGTCCCACTCCTTCAGGCTCTTCTGGGGCAACTGCTCCTGCCCCACTGGCCCAGCTCTTGCCAGCTCTTTGAAGTTCCTTCCTTGTGGTCCCTTGCTGGTCTTCCTTGAGTCAGCTGCACTGCCCCTTTTATCCCCCTCCAGATGACCCAAGGGGGCAATCAAGGGGCATGGAGGGGAAGTCTCTGGGACCTGATTGGTGAGGAAAGGGAATCCCAAGCCCTCCAATCATTTTTTACACTTTCAAAACCCCTGGGCCAAATCACTACCAGACAGCCCATCACACAGTGTTTATCCCAGGCTTGTGGGTGTACTCCAGGAAGGGGGTCAGCTGAACATAGGTGCCTCAGGGGAGACACCTGAAGTGTGGTTTTAGTTGGGCACAGTGAGGAGGGTAGCTCAGCATAGTAGTGCCCCCTACTGTATCATCACAGGTACCCCCTGGAAGAGTCGCTCCCCCAGCACAGTGAAATCTGGGAACCCCAGAGGTTGCAGGGGTGCACGTGGAAGCAGGGAACAGGTTGCTGGTTGTCCCACAAGATCCACAGGTGGGACAATGGGCAATGCCCATCTTGCCCAATGAAGCAGCTCAGCTGTATCCCAGCAGAGCTGCTCTGCTTCATTCCCTAATGTCTGTTTCTGGCCTGAGCTCAGCATAGCCTAAGTGGGGGGCAGGGCTGAACTGGGCTTTAACCATCAGGCAGCCAACCACCCCAGGAGCCACACAACTCCTGCAGCCAGCACACACAGGTACAAGCACATTTGTGTGATGGGTTTTTTCTTCTCTGCAGACACAGGAACTGCTGCTGTATCACCAGTTGCACCACTAAGAACAGCAGGGAAATGAGGGCAATGGAGTGAGGAACAACATCCTAGAGGGGCTCCGGTCCCCAGGTGTGACTTGGAAGGGTGGCCTGGTAGAGCTCAGGGAGGAGAAGGACGCAACTGGGGGATGACGAGGACCAGGGGTGGGGCAGCTAGCCAGAAAGGAGGGAGTGGGAGACAGGGCACCTGAGGAGACCTCGGCTGAGAAGCGCCGAGGAAGGATCCCGAGAGAATGGAGAATGTGGTAGCAGGTGGACAGGAGGAACTGGGATGGGAACAGACCTGGAGTGGTGCCAACACCCATGGGAGATGGAGCTTCATAAGGACAAAGCACTAATTAAGGGGAACAGGTGGAGTGGGTAAGCAGCAGCCCCAGAAAGCAGAAAGCTTTCCTGTCTGCTGGCAGCGAAGCCTGGGACACTGCCCTGAGGCTGACAGGAATGTGATGGGAGTGGGCAAGAAACTACTGCCTGTTTTTCATGCTGGCATAGAGGAGGCAGCCTGAGCCTTGGTGGCTGCCTCAGACCGTTTGAGAGTCAGATCCACGCTGGCAATGTCACAAGGATGTGGCAGATACCTGGGGCTGTCAAAGTGTTATGTACTTCTGAATCAAACCAGTGCTCCTTGACTGACCTGGAGGTTGACAGATAGTCAAGCATGGGTGACTGGTGCCACCTTAGTCAAGGGGGCACATGCCCCCCCCCCCCAGTGACCAGATGGGGAGTCCCCCTGTGGCCAATCTTGCTGACCAGGGGGTAGGTCCCCTGCTGCTTATCTCACCGACGGGGGTGGGGTGGGGTGGGGTGTCCTCCCGCAGCTAATTGCAAAGCAGTCATGGTGCTCCCATTCCCTGGCTGGTGCTTGCAGGGGGGCATCAGCCCTCCCGCCTGCCTCCCTTGCCCATTGCCTAAGTGGTGAGCATGGTCAGTCAGGGGGTGTAGGAAGAGGCAGGTTTTCTGGAGAGGTCTGGATATGTGTGCCCTGGCATAGCCCCAGTCAGTCAGACTGACAGTCTCTTTATTTCTGTTTGGTTTCTTTTCCTTTCATAGATACATAGATTTTAGAGTCGCAAGGGACTGCAATGGATCATCGTGTCTGATCCCCTGGCCCTGGCAGGAAAGAGGACCGAGGTCAGATGACCCAGCCAGGTGACTATCTAGCCTTCTCTTGAAGACCTCCAAGCTAGGTGATAGCACCACCTCTCTTGGAAGCCCATTCCAGATCCTGGCCACCCTTACTCTACCACATAGCCAAATTTCTTCCTAATATCTAACCTAAATCCACTTTCAACTAGTTTACACCCGTTATTTCTAATCACTCCCTGGGGCTCCTTAGTAAACAGCTCTTCTCCTATTCCCTGTTGACCTCCCCTACTAAATTTATAGGCAGCCACAAGATCTCCCTTCAGCCGTCTCTTGTGAAGGCTGAAGAGATTCAGCTCTCTCAACCTCCCCCTGTAGGGTCTATAACGAAAGCCACTAATCATGTGAGTGGCCTCCTCTGGACCCTCTCCAGATTCCCCGCGTCCCTCTTGAAGTGCGGCGCCCAAAACTGAACACAGGACTCCAACTGCGGCCTGACCAGTGCCGCATAGAGGGGGAGCATCACCTCCTTGGACCTATTAGTCATGCACCTGCTAATGCACGACAAGGTGCGATTGGCCTTGTTGATGGCCTCATTACACTGCCAGCTCATGTTCATCTTGGAGTCAATTATGACACCAAGATCCCTCTCTGCCTCCGAGCTGCTGAGAAGGCCACTCCCCAACCTGTAGGTGTTCCTCCTTCCCAGCTGGGGGTTCCTCCTTCCCAGGTGGAGTACCTTACATTTATCTTTATTAATTTGCATCCTATTTCTCTCTGCCCATTGCTCCAACCTGTCCAGGTCGGCCTGAATCTGCTCCCTACCCTCCGGTGTACTAACTTTGCCCCATAACTTGGTATCATCAGTGAACTTGGTATCATCATAACTTGGTATCATCGTGCTCTCCACGCCCTCATCCAAATCACTGATGAAGATATTGAATAATATTGGTCTGAGGACTGAACCCTGCAGGACCCCACTGCCCACCTCTCTCCAGGCCAAGAAGGAACCATCCACCACTACTCTCTGGTACGGTCCCTAAGCCACTTGGCCACCCACCTGACTGTGTAGGCATCCACTCCACAGTCTGCTAGCTTCCCAATGAGGATAGGGTGCGAAACTGTGTCGAAGGCTTTCCTAAGGTCCAGGAAGATGACATCAGCCTTGGCTCCCACATCCAGGCAGTGTGTGACCTGGTCATAGAAGGCTACAAGGTTTGTCAGGCAGGATCTACCTGTGACAAACCCGTGCTGGTTTCCCCTCAGCATCGTTTCCCCTGCTGGGCCTGCACAAATGTGTTCTTTGATTATTTT